TGAGGTTTAAGGATAAATAAAGAATTGTCCTATTCTTGGAATGCTTTACCTTTAGCTTCCTGCCATCCATGGTGGTGATGTCAGCCTCTTTGCCAATTGTAAACGAGTTGGTTACAGATTTGTTGGGTGTTTTGGATGTCACAACAAAGTCGTTGCCTTTTTGTTGTATTTCAACAACAGGCTTAATATCTTTGGCCATTTTGATGGTGTCATCTGGCAACCCTGCAAAAATAGGCAAAACAGGACTTTTTGTTATGGAAATAGCAAAATAGCAAATTGTGCCTTCCAACAAAGGCACAGAAGATCCAAGCCACTACTGGCAGGTGATGTCCAAGTTAAAAGACAATCCTGTTTTGGATTCCTCTCTTCTCAATGGGCTTTTTGCTCCATTCCTCCTAGTCTGGTTAGGTTTTGGTATTATATTTGGTGATGTGTCAGATTATGCACAGTTTCTTTTCCTAAGGGCTGGCCATGGGGTGATGATGCTCCATGAAAAGAACCATGTGTACATGACTTGTTTTCCCAGGGAGATGGGAGTTGGGGGACTCCCATCAAACTCCCTTTTTGGGATGTCCCTGGCATGATTTGAAGGTGTCATTTGTCACCAGGAGAGGGATTGGTTCTGCCACACTGTCAGACCAGGCTTTTCAACTGAAACTGGATCTTACTCTCCTGAATATCTCGTATTTACTCTTAAAAGCCCCAACGGGAATGCTTTGTTGGCAAAGGGAAGTGCATATTTATTGGTGCAGCACCTCCTAATCCTCACAGATTAGATTTGATAATCACTCAGAGATTACTGACACTTACCACATGTGAAAATCACTGACAGGTTACTGACCACTTTTCACGCGTGTTAATTATTCACAATTACTGACAGCATTTGTGCTGTAGAAAGGGCTTCTGTACCAGTAATTGGGAAGCTGAATAAGTCATTGATGGCTTGTTTCTAGCTATATGTGTTTATAAAATTACAAGTCAATCAACACAACAACTCTTCTGTCTTTAGGAGTTCATCTAACATTAAAACAGGGGTTTGGGGATTTTCTGTAACCTTTCTCCATCAATTTAGACAACTTTCACCTTCTTTTCACATCCAAATTAGATCAAACAGATTTAAGCAAGCAGGGCAGTTTGTCAGGGAAAGAAAAGGACAAAATCCATGGAAATGCAGCAGTAAGAGCTGTGGTGCTGATGATTTGAGGAGGGAGCAGGCACTTACCCAGGGCCTTGAGGAAGGGCTCGAGGTTCTCCTGAGCGTAGATCTGCCAGGTGCCAGTGAACGCCATGGTGGGACACAGCGAGGGCTCCCCCTGCTCTCAGGGTGCTATTTATGGAAACAGAGAGGCCAGCCCAGAATTGTCAGAGGGCTAATTATTAACTGGGGAATGGCAATCATTAATCAATTATTTGTTCTCAATGATCATAACCTCTCGTTCATGCTGCTCTTACCTTGAGGGCTGGGATGTTGTGTTTGTTGTGGGTTACTGACCTTGGGTGTTTGCCCATCCTTGTTGGAAAGTGTTGCAGTGCAGCTTCATTTGTTTGTGTTTTGCTCACAACTTCTGTGTTTAACACATTCTCTGTGTCTTGAGTAGAATTCTTCAGATAAAGTTATAGTAGATCAAGGTAATTGGTACTGTACAGCAGGAACTTCCTAATTATAACAATGTTCTCTGCTGTGGGCACTTGAACCTTAAATGGTGGATAAAGAATGAATAAAACCATTCTATTTCTTTCAGAATTTTAGGCCTCCCATTGCTTGAGGACAGGCAAAATCATGTTGGAGTGGGACACGAGTGATTCTTTTATCCAGCAGATGTCAGTGATGTGCACCTAACTGAATTGAATTAAATTCAGTTTGTCTTTACTTTTTACTTTAAGAGAAGATAAAAGATAAAACATGGAACACTGACTGGAGAGTGAATGGAGGAAGCAAATAGGATGTGTTATTTTTTGTTCTCACCAACTGCACAAGGAATTCTTCACTCATACCAGCCCTTGAGTGATGTTCCTTGCTGTCTGTGCAAGCCTGACTGTTGATTTTGGAAGACTTTCATTAGATGTGTCTTGCAATTTCATTGCTTAATTCAAACAGAGGCTGTATCCCAGGGGTGGGTGACCTTTCCAAGTTAACTTTTCATTCTATTTAAATAGAAACCCAATGCTCAGGTTTTTCTTACCAATTCACCACCCTTTTTTTAGTAGGTAATTTTTAAGAAGATTCACACAGAAAGAGCTAGATTTGTAATTACATTTACCTATGAGAATTCCTGATTTGCAGGGTCATTTATATGTGTGGAGTGTGTGCTGACTTCCCATACACCCACAGGTGATTTCATCATGGATATACTCAAAGCAGTGCTGAGATGTCACCAAGGGTTTGAGTTTAATGACACACGCACACACAGGCTGCAAGAAAATCTGTTACATGTAGTGATTTAATGCAAAAACCCTCCACTGAAAGCCTCATGTGTGGATCCTCTGGTATTTCCCACACAGATTTATCAGGGCAAGGTCTTTCTGGAAGGTGAACATGCAGTGAACACACATGTGAGCACACACACACACACACACACACACACACACACACACACACACACACACACGAGAATTGTTCTCTAACAACTGCCAAAATACTGAAATATTGCTAAAATAAACACAGAGACAGAAGTCTGAATTTTAGGGTAGAGACTCTGAAAGGCATCTGAAGGAGTTAAATTCCTTTCAAATTCAAGGAGACAATTAATTCATTTATGCTTTTTTGTGGTAATCCTAGCTGGGACTTCCTGCTCTGTTCCTATTGGGATCTCCCCATGTTTATAGACACTGATAGTGACCTGCCCTGTTTCAGACCCATATTTATTCTTGACATAGATGCTGTATTTTCCTGTGTCTTCATTGCAGACTTTCTCTATGGTGATTGTGACCATTGAGCCCTTCACATCCATCTTGTATCTGTCCTTAAACTCAATGACCTTCTCGTTTTTGAACCAGGTGATCTCTGGGTAGGGGTCTCCAGACACACAGCAAGTTAAGCACAGGGTCTGTTGTGAAGCAGAGAACAGAAATGGATTATGGAGCTGTAAATATGCAGGGAAAGTCAGTTCATAGAATCACAGCATCATTTAGTTGGAAAAAACCCTTAAAATCGAGCTCTTAACCCAGCCCTGCCAAGGCCATCACTGAACCCTGTCCCCAAGTGCCACATCCACACATCTTTTAAATTAAGAACAATAAAAATCAGTTCTCACATTTTTCCTTAGGTGACATTCCAACAGTGATGTCTGATACTCCTTTTCCTGATAGCCTCCAGTACAATCAGGATTAACCTGCCTGAATTCACCGGGCCTGACTCATATTTGTCTTACTGTCTCTTTATAGCTTCCTGTGCTGTAAAGTGGCACTTAAACAGGCACATGGTGAGTTTGCAGTTACTTTTGCAGGGGTTTTGTGCTCCTGAGTAAAGAGGAATGTGACTCAGAAATGGATGCAGGGAGTTGGGCTGATGGGAGAATCAGGCCCAGCACCTAAAGGCCTTCAAAGTTCAATCCTGTGAAATGGGAGGACAACAGAAGGGGTCTGGCTGTGGAGGTGGCCCAGGAGGGCACCACTTCCCACCTCTGGCAATGCAGCAACTCAGAAAAGCTGCTGGCAGTGCACAGGAGGGTAACACAAGGATCTTTCCTCCCCATCAGTAATCCTTCTGTGTCTGTGCAAGGACAAATTAATGGAGTTACTCAATATCACCTTGTCCTCCATGATGGTGGCAACATCTGGCAGACCTTGAACAACTTTGGCACGACCTGGGTATGAACAAATAGAACCTTTTAGTTTTTCTTATCAGCAAACTTGCCTTTGTTTCACTGAAGGGAAGAGATTCATTTACTTACGCTTCTCTGCTATTGCTGCTTCCCTGAAAGGGAGAGAAAATTATTGTGGTTTGATTTATTAGCCATTATATTAACAATTTAGATTGTCAAATCAAAATAGATTTAGCTGTGAAAGTATTTAGGCAGGAACTTACTTTAGCCTCCTGTGCTCAGCCAGGGCATCTTCAAAAACTGCAAGAATGAAAGGTTTTAGGGAAAGTTGCCTTTTGTTTTGTTTGACTCAGTAGATTTAGCATTATATTGTTGTTATCGGTGCTGGGATTACATGGATAAACATAATTATCCTCTAGATAGTACCTGTCCCTGCCTTAAGGAAACAGCTCTGTTTGTGTACTGCTGAAATACGTGGGACTGAGTCCTCTCTTTCCAAAGAGAAGTTCAGAGGAGGAAAAAAAACTCCAACAGATTGGAAAAGCCTTTGTAAACATGGAAGTTCTCTTTTCCAAGATGCCACCTGTGAGCTCTGTTGTCCAGTGGAGGAATTGGACACATCCCAGGAGCAGCTGCCCCCTTCTCATCTTTTTCCCAGCAGTGCCACGTCTCCCTAAAGGCTTCAATCCTTTCTCCTGCCCACTTGCCTCGTGCTTCTGTGGGCTTTCCACTGCCCTCTTCACCCCAATTCCACATGGAAATCAGCTCCAGTAAGGGGGAGAGGAATCCCTGCCCAGGGTTTGAAGGGCTCCTGGAAAGCAGCTCAGGTGTGACTCAGCTCACCTTGCCCAGACAGGTCTGTTGACAGTTTGTGGGAGCTGTTCCCATCAAATAACTCCAGGGTGTATTTGCCCTTGTCAGCCTCCGTGGGCTCCAGGATGTGCAGCCAGATCTGATTCATGGTGCTCCCAGCTCTCATCCTGTCACGGCTTTCCAGTTGTTTCTCCCTGAGAAAGCAAGCGATGTCATTTCAGTCATATTTAGCAGAGCTGGAGAAATCACTTTTCTAGACCTGTAGTGGTTGGAAGTGTGGGAGTCAGGATTCATTTCACTGAGAGAGGAAATCCCATGGGGCTGTACTTTGAGGCAGTTTGCCAAAACCTCACAAACTCTACAAAAGACCTCGTAGTTCTTATTTAAGGGATTAAATCCCATTTAGATGTTGAATATTTGTAAGTATTTAGCCCTTGAATGTTACTAAAAATTCACCTCCTTATCTACATGTGTAGGTGGTATCTAATAAAACACAGGCTCTCTATTTAGGAAGACATTATGAGGCTAAATTAGTCAATGTTTAGGAAGAATTTTGTAATTTTGGGAATATTTTTTATTCAGAGTTGGGGGAGAGAGTGGTTTAGGAAAACATTAAGTGGTAAAAATAAAAGTGTTTGAAAAAATTCTGTCTGTAACCAAGGAGGCTGTAACTGAACAGTATCATAAGTGCAGCATCATTATTATTCTAGGAAAGATGACTCCTTATAAATATTTCTGCAGTGCTGCAATAAAAATAACATGACTTTTCATTCTGGAATTCCCAGACACGTTCCAGGATGGGAGTGAATTGTGGATTTCAGCCCTTACTCAGACAAATCCACAGTTGCCTGAAAAATGTATGGGCTCAGGCCCAAATGTTTAATTTTGGATAGTTACAAGGAACAGTGCTCCAGAAGCTTTGCAAGTATTTTTTTTGGGGACTTACTTGTGGTACCAGGTGGTTTTCATGTAGTCTGTGTAGTACTTGACATCTGTGTAGATTTTGATGCCTTCCTCAGTGGGCTGGATCTTCAGAGGTGTGGCAGAAAGAGCTGGTGGTGCAACAGAAAGACTGAAATGGAGGAGGGATGCCCAGATTTACCTGTTCCATATCGAAATCCAGCCAAAGGAGCAGCGAGGGGCTGGGGCTGTGCTGGTTCCACACCCAGGGCCAGCTGTGCCACGCCACCTTTCCCCTCTGCTGTAATGCTGAGAGCTGACATACCACTGATCCTGCACAGCTCCTTCAGAAGCTCCTCAAAGGCTGAAAGACAAAGATTCAAGTGTCTGTAAATACAAATCATAGCAAAGCACATCCAGTCTGCCAATTAATTTTACTGTGGTTAGGATGTTTTATATCCAGGGGTTATTTGCTGTCTTTTTCTGTGGCAAAGCTCCCTGGGAATGGAGTTTTTACCTCTGATTCATTTGTTTGCAGATGCTGGGCATTTCTTACTAAATTTAGCTGCTCCTATCTTCCTTCACACTCACCATGTGCCTCCCAGACAGGAGATTAATGTACCAGGTTTAAATGATGGATTCCAGATGTCGGGACAGCATTTAATCTTGGGCAGCAGAACCTTCTGATTGATTCTGGGTTGAAGTGACTGAAATATCCCTGAGCTTTTATCTCTGGGGCTTGGCAGAATTTATAATGCAGTCCTGGCTTGAGAAATGACTGCAGGTGAAAATGACATCAGCGTGTAGAGCAGGAAACTCTTTA